TGGATGGAAATGATCTTAGAGGGAATGATGATCCGAGTGAGATTCATGTCATTGACGGGAGATTTTGGATTGACCCGAAGGAAACTCGTAAGTTTCTTATTTATAAATTTTTATTTAAGATAATGCATTTTCATTTTTAATATAAATTTATATTTAATATAACTAATTCAAATTATTTTTGTTTAGTTTCTCGCCGAGTCGGACTGCTGCCAAGGTTATAAATTATATAATCCAACAGATGTATAAACAATTTTGGAAGACCTTTAAAGATGTCAAAAATAAAGAAGCTTGGTTTAATAAATTTAAGGTATAATTAATTTATTTTTTAGTTATTGTTATTTAAATGACTATTTCATTATAATTATCTTACTATTTATTTTAATGTCATACAATATTGCAGGAAAAATGTGTGTGAGACCCATTGAATGAGAAGATGATAAAAAAATTATTATGGTAGAACCTCAAGATGACTTTTTGACATAATGCGTCGTGTTAGAGAGTGTTGTGAACTTCAGGGTATCCGTCCCAATTGGATAGGGAAAAAGTTTTTTGAGGAACTTCTTAAATATTGGGAGTCACTAGAATTTCGGGCTAAATTTGAAAATTTTAAGAAGATGAGGGCATATGAAAAAGGTGGTTGCGTTAATGCAGTTGGAAGTATAAGTACCGTAAAGCATGTTCGACGCGTGATAAATATTACCACTTTTTTAAGTTATATTTTAATTCATATTTTATTAATTAATGTTAATTTTATTATTTAGACCAATAATTTGGGGAGACCTCCATTGATGATTGAGTTGGTTAAAAAGACTCAGACAAAGAAAATCGGAGATTTTGTTGACGAACGCACTCTAAAAGCTTTCGTAAGTTATTTAATTTACGTTGTTGTTTATATTTTTTATTTAATGACAATTTTGTGACGTGATTTTCACGTGGCAATGAGAAACTGTGACGTGATAATCACGTGGCAATTGAGAAGTCGTGGCGTGAAAATCACGTGGCAACTTTTTAAATATAATATAATTTAATTTAATTTATTAAATATTTAACTTAATTTTTTTTATTGAATGTATATGAGGATTATCAGACATTGCTCGCAAATTTTCCGAGTCATAATCCTCAATATACTTCGGGAGAGGGAGAGTCGCTCATCCAGATATGGACTTTTATATTTGGGATCAAGTCATTGGCGGAAAAGGCCCTAACAGTTGTTTTTTTGGTGGTGGAAATTTGGCGGGCACCTTGAGAAGTGAGGATGAAACTCTATTTCAAAGAGTTAGAGATGGGGAAGGGGGTCATGTCAACCAAATTTGACACCAGAACAACTTGAAACGGTAAGACAATTGGCATTAAATGAGGCGAGACGCGAGTCAGCGTAACATGAGGCGGCAATGAAAGCCCAAATGGATGCAATCAGGTAAGAGCAACAATGACAAATAGAGGCCATGATAAAGAGGCAAGCTGATATGGAGCAACAAATGAGACAATTTATGCAAGAGTTTGGTAGAAATTCAAACTTTCGCGGTCAAGAGCCGGAGGATGATGGAAACAAAGATAATTTTGACATTGATAATTATGACCCGTAAACTTAATTTTTTTATATATTTTACTTTCAAATTTGAATTTGTATACCATACTAATTAATTCTTAAATTTATAATTTTAATTTATTAATTTTATTATATTAAATTTAATATATTGAATTTATTATATATTGAATTTATTTATAATGAATTTATTATTTTAATTTATCATATTGAATTTTTAAATTGAATATATAAAAAAAACAAATTCAGTTATTAAATTAAAAAAAAAATATTAGTGACGTGATTTTCACGTCACAAGTTGTGACGTGAAAATCACGTTGCAACTCACTTTTTATATTAAAAAAACACAAAAGTTGAAGGACCAAACATTGTTAAATGTAATTATTTAGTGACGTGTTTTTCACGTCACTAATTTGTGACGTGAAAAACACGTCGCAACTAAAGTAGTTGTATGTCTGTTGCGCCTGCTTTCCTGCAGAGTTGTGTTTTTATAAAAGTTTGTTGCGACGTGATTTTCACATCACAACTTTGTGACATGAAAATCACGGCGCAAACTGTTTGCTACCCCTCCTCAGCTACGTGAACGCACACGTCACAGATAATGTGTAGTGACGTGATTCCTCATGTTGTGACGTGAAATTCATGTCGCAAATGAGTGATTTTTTGTAATGCGTATAATTGTTGTTAGAACACCTCAACAAAATGACCTAGATAAACACATGAATATGACCATTTTGGAAGGCACTTAATATTGTTAAAGAGTTACAAGAATCATAGCCAAAGACCTTCAGAGAGACACTGAATGATGAAATGCACTCATTCATGAAGAACCGCACTTGAGAGTCTCAGATACTACTTAAGAAAAAAAGTAGTGGTTTGGTGTAATTAGATCTTTAATAAAAAGGAAGATATTATAGGAATGAAAGAACCACGTTTTAAGGAAATACTTGTAGCAAAAATGTTTACTTAGGTGGAAGAGATTAATCATATTTAGATGTTTTCACATGTGGTAAAACATTATTCTATAACGTTACTTATATAAATTGTAAATCAATATAATTTTAATATGGAGTAAATGGATGTAAAAACATCTTTATTAGATGGAGACTTTGAAGAGACAATCTATATAGACCAACTTAAGTGTTATGTAAAGAACAATTCTAAGGTATGTTTATTAAAGAAGTCTTTGTATGGGTTAAAATAAAGCTTAAGATATGATATCATCGGCTTCATAAATTTATTCTTAAATATGATTTTGTGAGAAGTAGTTATGACAATTGTGTATGCATATTGAAAAGGAAAGAGAGTGTCATTCTTCACATTCTTCTACATGTTGAGGATATATTGATGGCAAGCTCTTCAAGGTAGAAATCAATAAGCCTAATAAGACTTTGAATGATGAATTTAAGATGAAATATTTTGGAGAAACTAAAAGGATCTGGGGATGGATATCATGAGAAAGCACAAGAGAAGTAAATTATTCTTATCTCAATCCGATTACTTAAGGAAATTGAGGGGTAGTTTAGTATGCAAATGCTAAAATCATCAACGCTCATTTGAGTCATCACACGAAGATTTAAATTATGAAATATTCTTAAACCAAAAAAGAAAAGAAGATGATAAAGAGTACTTTCAAATGCAAGTGAGGCTGGAATCATCATGTATGATATGATTTGTAATAGAGGATACTTAGTATATGCAGCTAGAATAATAAACCGGTTTATAACATATGTAATTAGCATATTAAGTCGACTTATGGCTAAGCCGATTCATTGAGAATCTTTGAAGTGGATGCTTAGATATTTGAATGGTTCATTAAATGGTGGTTTAATACACAAATGGAGTTCAAGAAGAACTTGATTTGGAGAATTTTGTGAATGCAAATATGCGAGAAATGTGAACACTAGGAAATTGATTTATAGTTTTGTTTAAGATGTTTGGAACATATATAAGCTGGTAGGAAAATCAACAATTGATCATTGTGTTATCTACTACTCAAACAAGATACATTTTCCTAATTGAAGGGGTCAAGGAAGTCTTATGGTTAAGAGGCATGATTGTGGAATTAGGGATAACTCAAGAATGTCTGAAGATGCATTATGATATTCAAAGTGACATTTACTTGTCCAATAATCAAGTGTATCATGAAAGAACATATCATATTGACATTTGTTTCCACTTCATAATAGATGTGATCAAGTCAAAGAGGATTTTAGTTCATAAGGTGGCTTCAGAAGAGAATCTGACGAGTGTGTTCACTAAATCATTACTAAGATCAAGGTTCAAGTATTGCTTGGACTTGATCAATTTTGTTGAAGAATGATTTAAGATTTGTAGAGAGTAGCAAAGTGGTTGATGATTTAACTTGCATCATCATCCATTTTAAAATCAAGGTGGGAAATAAAAAAATTTGGCTTAAAAACAACTTGGAAGTCTCACACGATGGCATTGCGTTTGGTAAAAACATAATGTGTTCTTGCGTTTTTCTAAAATGAACTCTTTTCCAAGTAAACACAATGCATTTCACAGAAACACTCAGAGTTTCCAATGACACTTATAAAAAGTGTCTTCAGTCCTTTTTGGGTACAAAATTGAGACAAGTAAAATCATAGTGAGATAAACTTAGAGAGACAAAATGAGATATTCTTGTAAGAGTTGGAAGATTTAAGGAGATTGGGTTACACTTCTAAACATTTTGGATTTGTATGATTCATATATTTACGGAATGAAAAATTGATAAACACTTGGGTAGAAAATAAGAGATGTCCTTGAGAACTAGAAAGACTATTTTCTTGTAATTCATCTTATAATCTCTTGTAATAACTCTTAAAGTATAATGGATATGAGAGTTGCTATTCCCCATTATAGACCAATTTAATAAGATTGGGTAAGCAAATTTTGTATACACTCATTCATTTGTTGGTGTTCCCTCATTCATTTTCTAATACACCCCGCCTGTTTGGTCATTTGCCTGCTAGAAGTATTAAGACTTCAGAATTAACAACTTCTTTGTGCCATCATTTTGAGGGTTTATGTTTGAAGTGTGTTATTACTATCATGTCCTTTTGTTTATTCTATTGTTAAATTTAAGTTGACTTCTGATGTTATTGATGTTTGAAGTTTGTTATTTTGTGTTAGTTTACATACTTCAGATCAATCAAAGAGGTTAGAAATTTCTATAAAATAAATTTTTTTATCTGTTCAAATATAACTTTAAAACATTCAGTTTGTATGCCTTTGCAATGTACAAATATATTTTATAGAAATTGAGCAATGGTATTTTTATAATATATACCTTACACTCATTGGCTATATATATAAAAACATAAATTTTGTCTATTAATTAATGATTAATGAAATCAAAATTTAAAACACATGTAGAATTTTCAGTTGAGTCATGTTAATAATGGGCAAACCACACCAAGATCGTGGTAGTTAAACAAAAGCATGAAAAAACAAAGAGAGAATAACGGTGAACAACACCACATCATCCTTTTCATGGCGGTTCGGTCCCTTAACATTCTGTCACATTCTCTTCTCTTCTTTCCCTTTCTCTTTCTATATCTATACATACACCTATACATACACATTTTCCATATATAACATCGCACACCGCATCATTACTCTACAAACCTCACATTTACCACGAGCAAATTTCGCATCTCTTCTTCTTCTCTTACTCATTCATTCACTCTATCTCTTGCTTCATTCCCAATCCTCTTCTAACTTTCTCTTCAACAAATTTCATTCCCTTTCTTGTAAGATTCCTCCTACCCTTCTATTTTTTAGCACTTTTTTTCGTTTTTTATGGTATCATATACATAAAGGTGTTTGCTTTTTGGTCTCTTGTGAACTTTTTCTCATCTGGGTATGTTTTTTTTCAATTTTGCTTATCTGTCTTTAGTGTTTGTGGAATGCTTCTGCATTTGGGGTGTACCCTTTTTCTAAAGTTTATGTTTTTTTTATTACTATGAATTTGTCTGTTTCATTTGATGTTTGTGATTGTTAGGTTTGATTAATTTTTCTGAATGAAGATAAAGTTCTCTAATTTATAAGAATCTAGAAAGAAAATTTGGCTTTTTTTCTTGATATGTGTTGGCTGACATGTTATATTTTGTTTCTTTGTTTTGAAATGGTTTTTTATTTCCAGAAATTGTGAAGGAACTTTACTTGACCTAGAGAATTAGGTATACTGAATATAGAATTCCCTTGTCTGGGTGTGAAGTGAATTGTGGTATTTAATTTTGGTTTGTAAAGATGGGGGATCACTTTGATTTACTGGTTGATCGATTGCTTACGGAATCGACGTTAGAGGCTGCGATTGAAAGCGGAAAGCGGGCGATGCAGGCTGCATCCTCCGTGGTGGTGAATGACGCGGAGATTGATCTGTCTTTGTTGAAGGTGGGTTTGGAGAGTGTCAAATGTTCGGGGAAGATGGTGGAATGTAGGATATGTCATGATGATGATGATGATTCGAATATGGAGACACCTTGCTCTTGTTGTGGTAGTTTGAAGGTTTGTTGTTTACTAGCTGTTCATGATCACATGTTTTGAATCTTTTGATATGTGAAAGTTATTAGGTTTGTAAATACGTATCGGTGTAGTCTTGTAAGCATATCGATGAAACTAGCGTGTTAAAGTTTAAAGGCAAACCGAATACTTTGTGATGGACACAGTTTCTTGAAGAGTTTCAAATGCGAAAATTTACCAAGCTAAAATGATATTTGATTCATTTCTTTTTATTTTCTGAAATTTGATAGCTTAAACTCTGATTGATTTTTGCAGTACGCACACCGAAGATGTATACAACGGTGGTGCAATGAGAAGGGTGACACCACCTGTGAGATATGCCACCAGGTAACTTAAATTGTTTCGACTTCCTTATTCGCATATCATTTCTATCTACTCGTTCAATTGATAATGACATTTTCCATTCTGTTTCGTTATAATTGATGTTTGTTTTTCATCGTGCTGTAAATTTCAGCCGTTCAAACCTGATTATACAGCTCCTCCTCCACTATTTCAATTTGGACGTATTCCAATGAGTTTCAGGTAACTTCCATGCAATAGTCTCGTGTTTTTCCGCATATGCGAACCATGTTTATCCGACTCTGTCTTCTTATATGTTCCAATGCTGTTTATGTCAGGGGAAATTGGGAAATTTCGCGAAGAGACTTGAATAGTACTCATTTAGTTAGCATGGTTCCCTCTGACCAAAGCCTTAACAATTCTAACTACGATCAATATTCCGCCCCTTCTTCAGGAAGTTTGATATGCTGTCGCTCGGTTGCTATCATTGTAATTTCTCTCAGCCCTTTCTTATGTACACACGCTTTTACACTTTCTGGTTACGATATTTCTTAATCTCCATTTCTTCTCGTGTGCAGTTCATGGTTCTGTTGATTTTAAGACATACACTTCCCCTACTAATTAGTGGAAGCAAAGACTTTTATTTCCCGCTTTTCATGGTACGTTTTGCGTAACATAAAGGCTATTATTCCCGGATGCTTTGATCATTCTCTTACTTACCAAGTTCTTTTTCAATTTAATGGAGTTTTGGTAGGTGTTATTATTTCGAAGTGCTGGAATTGTCGTACCTATATACTTCATGGTTAGAGCAGTGGCACTAATCCAGCGACATCGGAGACAACATCGAGTGAGTTTCTATCATAGTTTATATATAACCTTTTGTCTCTTTCACGTAAATACTCACGGTAAAGTCTCGTATTTTTTCCTTGTAACTATTAGGAGCATCCTAGTGTCTTGGTAAGTTCATCGGATGATGAAATCGATCAAGAAGGTTTGCAGCCTCAACCTCATATCATACATTTAGTGTAAAAACACTAGACACTGCAATCTTTCTTCTGAATTATGGTGGAAATTGGTGGAGACAATTCCTTGACAACCTTGATTTTGCTTGAGTGAGGATAAATTCTTCTATTCTGCAACTGGCCGGTGTCATAGCTCATGAAGGAATTGCAGGGTTCTTCGTCGAATCTTGGCAGCAGCTAGTTAGTTATGTTTGCGTTATCTTTTCTGGGCACAGGTTCAAATTGTTTACATTCAAAACAATATCTTCTGTGTATAGATAAAATTATATAAATGGTTTTACTAACATCTACAATCTTGCACATATAAAGGCCGTAAGTTGCCAACTAAAAGAAAGATGGACAATTGGCGACTCTTATCGTGTGCAAGGTTTCACACGTTAGGCGGATGCAATTATATACGTAGAAAATTACATGGGTAGATATTAACGATGTATGGATGGGTTTATTGTATATGTCGCAATGAAAACCTAGTTTCAGTTGTGATTTTATAGCAGCATAGGAAAAGGTTCAAAATGTTGACTATTTTACCATTGATTTCATGGCATTTTTGTTCGAAGCAAAGAATATGTTAAGTATAGAATTTCAAATTGTTTAGACAGATCAACTCAAAGGAAAGATAGGTAAATCAAAGCAAGTCCCTTCCTTCCCTCTGTTGGAACCAAATAGCTGGATACCTCGTTACTAAAATGATGATACTCAAATTTAGAGCAATCTGAACATAGAACACAATATATCCAATTCTCATCTACATCAAAATTTTAGCTAGGGTGGGCAAAACGGGTCCGATCCGTTGGGTATGTCTGTTTTGCCCGCACTTTAGTGCGGGGAGGATCAAGGGTTTAGACCCTCACCCTCTAATGTGTCTGTCGCGCTCCGTCCCGTTTTATACACGGACTTTTGCGGGCACGTACATCTACATAAATTTTTGTGTTTTAAGGTTTAAAATATGCAGTGCCCACGGGTTTTTTCTGCCCCGTCCTCACTTTTTTTGCGGGGCGGGAATAGACTTTAGGCCCGCATCCTTAATAATGCCCGTCTTGTCTTGTCCTGTTTTTTTGCGGGTTTTTGCAGAATGAACCTAAACGGAGGCGGGCATGCTTGTTTGCCATCCCTAATTTCAGCATCTCCACTTTAAGTGGTTTTGAATTGAAGTGGGCTTTTCTATAAATATCTTGAATTCATTTATGCTTTGCATACTGTTTCAATGTCATAAGAATCTAAAATTTGATTAATCATTCCTCCTCCTCAACGAACTAACTTATAAAACGAGATATAAAATTGATATAACTTGTCATATTAGAGATTGTTGAGAACGTAATTCCTTTGTGTTGAAGTAGCATGTTATTCGACAAAATGGTGTGTCGAATTAGTCTGTAAGTGTGTCAAGTTGTATAGTATGTGGAAGTCTCGAAGCAGTTTGTTTTTCACAGGATTTCGACTTAGACCAAAATAGGTATTTTGGGTTTTGGTTTAAGGAGAAAGCTAACCTAAAACTACAAATAGAGGGGGCAACCCCATTATTAAACACAACTTGTATTCACAGAATTTGCAGTTGCAAGTGAATAAGATTTTCTACAGTTTGTGCACAGAGAGTTACTCTGCAGAAATCACCATATTCATATTTTGTCAAACCCTAATTTTCTTTCTTGATTTTCTTTCTTTTTCATTGTTATTGTGTATCGATAGTAATCTTGTTCATCAAGATTGATAGAAATTTTTCATAGATTTTGGTGGATTTCCAACATTTAGTATCTAGAGTTTCGGTTGAGCGATTCAAGAGAAAAAATAATGATGGTAATGAATCATCTGAATGGGTATTTTTCAACAAGTCTTCCAATTTTAAAAGTTGATAATTATCAAAATTGGTGCAAGCAGATGAAGATTGTGTTATGTTGTCAAGATCTTTGGGATCTTGTGAAAGAAGAGCCAAAACTGTTTGCAAAAGAAGTAGTAGATGAATAAGAGGCAGCACATAAATAATTGAAAAAGAAGAATTATAAAGCTCTATTTATAATTCATCAATGCCTGAGTCCAGACAATTTTGAAAAAGTTACTGATGTAGAATCTGCGAAAGAAGCTTGAAAAATTCTGGAAAAGTCTTTTGGAGGTGCATAAAAGGTGAAAAAGGTAAGATTACAAACTCACAAAAGAATGTATGAATTGCTTCAGATGGAAGAAAGTGAAAACATAACTGATTTCTTGACTAGGGTTACGAAGTTGGTGTATCAAATTAAGGTATGTGTGTAGCGGTAGAAATGTTGAGACTAAGCCATTAGATTGACTTGGTACAGATCAAAATAAAAATCACCACCACACTTTATTGTTTTCAGAGAAATGAGAAAAGAGCGAATAACCCAAAAAAGAGGGAGAGATAATCTAAGTTCGGGAGTTGATTATGCAAAGAGAATGTGTTAGCACCCTAAACATCTATGGTATTTCGCAGGAACCTCTTTGAAAATTTGTGTATCTTGGTTATAAAAGTTGTATAAAAATAGATTGTGGGGATGGAAAAAAAAATATTTTTTATAATTTTTGCACCCGCCGCGGTTGCGAATCTTTAGTGTCTACGTACCACCTTCCATGCAATAGAGGATCAGGATACACATAGTTTACCTTTAAAATTTTTAAAACACATGTGTGTTGGTTATTTTTAAGAGATAAAACATCATCATCGTCATCTCAAAGTGGAGGATATAGCTTGGATTTTAAAATCAACAAAGCCTCACTCAATACCCAAGTGAAAAATATCTCACTTCACTATATACCGTAGAAGTATAGTAGCTCGCATCACTACAAGGATTGACAAAAGTCTAATCTTTTGAGAAAAGTTTTAAGGTAAAAAGTCAAAGTGGAAAAATAGTTTGAATGAGATTGATTGATTTTTAGTCTTCTCACAAAAATATCAAAGTATTGTTAAATTGTTTAAAGTTCGATTAAGAAAATATTTTTGAAAATACATGGACCTAAGTTCAAGTTTATTACAAAAGCGGTTCAAGTTTAAAAACAAGAAGAGTTTTCAAAAGGAGGGAGAAGATTTTTGAAATTAAAGAAGATGGGAGGAGATGAAGGGACTATCCTAAGCATAAAGTAAAAGCTAGGGAAAAGAACTGTCTAACGAACAAGAAGTCAACACTTGATACAATGAATCAATGTAGAATTCTCATCCTTTAGATTTGAAACTAAACAAGCAAAGATAATAAACCTCTTAAGAAAATTAAGCTTCAATTGCATTAAGTCATCACAAAAATTGGGCAGAGTAACGGCTGTATACTGATGAATTTCCGATCACAGACAAAGCATGTAATCACAATAATCTGCACACAAAGCAAACAAATAATCCAATGTCTTGGGGTAAATCCCAAGAGCTCCGGAGAAAATAACAGTTGAGGTCACAAGGTCTCAAGGTAGGTTAAGGTCTCTAATCCTAAGTCCAAAAAGTCCATCACTCCATAATGCAAGGATAGTAACCAAATAGTCCAAGTAACATTAAAGTTTTTTTTATGGTTCAAGTTGTTTATTAGGTATCTTCAAAAAGAAATGAAGAGCTCAAGGGAGCAAAATAAAAATGACATAAAAATAAATGCTAAAATGAGCAAAGATGAAAATAGCGTGAAATGTAAATGCTAAAATAAATGTGCTTAAAGTAAAAGCATAAAGTAAAAGCACAAAATAAAGTCAATTGTTAGAAATTAGAGGTTAATTGAATGGCCATCTTGAAACTTGTATTTGAAACTCATTAGAGGATTGATAAAACTAAAACCTCTCAACAACAAGTTTCATTTGCTTTTTGTCAAGTATATCATTCATTTAAAATTCTCAAGGCAACCATAAATGATCAACGATGTTTAAGTGATTCACTTTGCCAAAGCTTATGGAGATTCATTAGAGGATTGATAAGACCAAAGTCTCCAAACAATAAATCTCAAGGTTATTGGATCAAAGGATTCAAATTAACATACTCGGGCTTACAAACATGAGTTTGGGCCATAAATGATCATTTTTTGAATCGGGACAAAATTTAGCGCTATGTTAAGCAATTGTAAGTAGATTTATATAGAAGTCGCACCTATTTTGAGACCGGTCAATAGCAATTTATGTGTCATATGTTTGGAGAGATTATATGTATATCATCCTCTAATAACATGTGACACAATAAGAAGAGGATAAGATGAAGAAGAATGTGATAAGAATTAAACCACATTTGAATCAAAAGTTTAATCAAACCATCATTAAAATCATTCATCTATTTTGATGGAGTTAAACTCAACACCCAAGATCCAATGATGTTAATGAAGCTCATGATTAAAATCTCATAGTCCAAAATCAATCAGCATATATACAAAATAAAATTATATTTAAAAATAAAAAAAAAGATTTTTAAAATGGTTTTTAAATGAAAATAAAAAGGGAAAATAACAACTATATTCAAAACATCCAAGAAAAATTAAATAAGACTATAGAAAAATCAGAAAGGAGCTCAAATATTTTTATAAATTTTTTGGTAATATTTTAAAGTCAGAAACTATTTTTAAAATTAAAAAAAATAGGAAAAATAAACCAAAAATTATGAAAAATAGTAAAGACAGAAATAAAAATAAAATGAGGTCACCAATATTTGTCAAGAGGTCATTAGATCCTTCCATATTTTTTTCAGAATTTAAAAATTAAGAAAATTATTTTTAAACATTTAAAACAATTCAAATAAAGTGAAAATATAAAAAATATCAAAACACAAAATAAAATTATGAAAACATAATAACCAGAAAGAGAAAAATCAAAAGTATTTTTAAGAATATTTTTAGATCTTTTGAAGTTAAAATGAATTTATTTATGAATTTTTGAAGTTTAAAACAAATAAAATATAAAAATCAAAAAATATAATAAAAACCAAAAAGATGTAGACCATTGGATGAGAGTCAAAACGCGTTAGTAAGCTAATCCAATGGATCAGACGCGCTGTGTATATCATGGTCCTTAGTGAATAAAACTGAATCATTTATTAAAATC